AAAAAATAATTATTTTTGAGGATTTTTATTTTTTTTATGATTAAATTTCTAAAGAAACCAAGAAATATATATATATATATATATATATATATATATATATATATATATATATAATAATATTTAAAAAAACAAACAGATGCAAAAATTATAAATATATATACACATAGGTGCAACACGTACATGTATTTTTTTGAATAAAAATTCCAAGAGGATAGCTCACAGGAGAATAAATGATAGAGGACAGATAAGGATATAATAAAAGCGGCTCTAATATTCCATGGTTATAATTTATTACATTGGAATCGTTAAATGATCCAATTCATCAGACCTACAAATTCAAAAGTTTTTTGATTCAATAGGTCTATTTAATGATTAGTACACCCTCCTTTTTTAAACTTTTAATCCCCCATTTTCACCTTTAGGCCTTTCCTGTTGAGTTTCTTTCTTTTGTTGAATTATCTCTAGAGCTTTATACGTTTCCTTCTCACACACAATTTCCCATTACCACATACACTTGACTTTTTGATTTTTTATTATTAAATCTTCCATTAAAGGCTACAATGTGCTAACCGTATTTGGAAAAAAAACATCCCTATTATGTGACATACATAGAAACCTTTTATACTCAATTAAGCTATAAAAATCAAATCATCTTATTATGTTTATTTTCCTTTTGCTCGTAAATATAAAACATTTGGACAGTTCCCACATCCTTTGTCCAGAAAAGAAATCTTTTTGAACACAAAAAATTAAATAAAAAAGCTTAAAATGTTGACGTCCTTGTCTTATATCGTTTTAATATAAATATATATATATATATGTGTTGTGTGTATTTTCCCAGTGGAGTGTGTGTATTTCTAATATAGTCAGTGTTTAAATTAGGTCCGATATGTGAGAACAAAACGTTAGAACTTGGAAAATAAAGAGTCAATGAAATTGTTAACAATCTAGTTGTGATGGTTTATCAACTTCAAATTGTAATCTCGTTGACGCGATTCAACACCATTCTACCAGACTTGCCAATATTTGCTAGAAAATGAATTTATCTAGGGAGAGTCCATATACAATATAATATATATATATATATTCAAACAATATATATATATATATATATATATAGATAGATAAAAATATTTTGTTCCTTTTGATGTGTAAATATTTTCTTAAATTCCATTATTATTTTTAAGAACTGATAGAACCGTTTAAATGGCGTCGAATTGTAGCTGTTTGCTTAGTCTGATCAGACAATCATTTCGGATAAATAGAATAATAAGTGCAATCATTGATATTTTAGGATTTGTGGTGGCATAGAAACGCAAATATTTGACCAACCCTCTTCAATATGATATTTAGTATTACATCCTAGGAGATTCAATAACGTCAGAGATTGTTATTCATTTTCCAAACTATTCAGACGAGAACTAATTTTAAATATTCATTTAATGAAATATGGAACAATGCCGTGAAGAAAACACCGTTGGAAATAAATTGTTACAAACATGCACCACAGAAGAGGCGTGAGGGAATTTGGTAAGAAATTGTTCAGAAACTGTCGTTCATTGTTGAATACGTACTGGAATCACGTGAACATCTGTTTAACATAAATAAATATGGCATTATTAAATTACGTGATCTGTAGATTGATGATGAGGAAATATAGGAAACTGTAATTTGAATGGTTGCTTTTTTCCTTTTGAATTAAAATATGTATTGAATTTCTATTATATATATATATATATATATATATATTTATATAACTTATATAAAGAGATTGATAGAGAGAGCAAATATTTGAAAATGAAGCAAGATAACTTTGAAGATGAATGGCAATTGATTTGATGAAAATAGTCTTACCGAATATAGATAATCAAATAGATAGATAAATCTGATTAATAATAGATAATGAACACATAGAGAAAAGATTTCTGCCATTTAAAGATTTCTGCAAAGAAAGAGAGAGAAAGAGAAATAAAGACAAATAGATAATAATTATTTTGAGTTCCAAAATTAATTAGATAAATATTTTTAGTTTTTTTGACATGATTTTTTAACGTCTAAAAAAACGACATTATTTAAATTTTTTTTCTAATAGAATAACATGATAATAGATGAATAAAATAGATAAATTTAATTTTTTTAAACTGACAGACAATCAATAAAGGTCCAATAATTTAAATTTTATTTACCCAAATTGATGTTTTCCTGGTTCCTAAAATCATATATGATAATATATATATATATATATATATATATATTTGCACAGTTTATTTGTGTGTGTGTGTGAAATATATGTGTGTGTGTAATTGTTGTGTGTGTTGTAGTGTGCAAATATGATGAAATTAGGAAATAAAACTTTTTTAGGTAAATTTTCGTGGATAAATTCTTATGTATTTTGTTTTATTTAACTCAAAAAAAAAAAAGTGCTCAATACAAGGTAGACAGCCCTGTTTTTTTTAAAAATGAATGATTCCTGCACTACGAGTTTGAACGGAAAACAATGTTATGATATATTTATATATGTTTGAAAAACTAATTGATATACAAATAAAATATATTTCAGAACCAAATTGCTGATGAAATTTTATATATATATATATTATAATATATATATATATTATTTCCCAAGAAAACTATAACCCTTCAATTAAAATTTAATAAATTATTTACCACTGTTATTTTAAAATGTACTGCGGATGAATTCAAAATTTACTTCCTAAACAAATTTTAATTTGAAAATTTTCTTTATTTTTGTAAATGCCTTATTAAAACAATAAATATTATTACTAAGAGATTTTTATGGGGGGAGAGTTACTCTATAGGAGTTAATCATGCTTTACCTATATATATTTAAATATATATATATATATATATATATATATAAATGATCTACATTAAGGATTGTAATACCCAGAAATGTAATTTATTACATGGAACCTTAAATTGGTCTGTTTTTATTTAAATTATTTGCTCTGGATTTACATTGAGCTCTCTGGATTTTATCCTCTTTAGGTTTACCCATACGGATTACTAGAGTTTTTTATAAATATATATATATATATATATATATATATATATATATATATATTGCATATTTGACGATCAAAAAAAAATGGCTTCATTGTTTTTTAGGTAATTTTCCTACGGCTCAACATACTTCTATTTCATAGCCATAAGTCATTTGTTTATGTGTTTTTTTGTTTTTTTGGCGGGAAGTGGAGATGTTCGTGAGTTGCATTTCATCGCGTCACTGGGCGTTGTCTTTTCACTCAGCGCCATTCACGCATCATCCTGTCATTTCCTGTTTATTGCTAGGATTAGCTGATTTGATTTCCTATATAAACCCTTTCGGCACCTCTCTATTTCAGCTAATCTATCTATCTATCTATCTATCTATCTATCTCAGCCTGTTAATCTATCTATCTGTCTCTCTATCTCAGTCTATTCATCTATCAATCTCAGATAATTCATATCTCTCAATCTATCTTTCTAGGATTTTCATATTTATGTATGTATCTATCGATGATATAAAACTATTTCATCTCATTCAATTCTATCAATTAAATTTTATCTATCTATCTATCTATCTATCTATCAGTCTGTTAATATCTATCTAAACTATCTCAGTCTGTTCGTCTATATATCTATCTCAGTCTTTTCATTATCTAAGTCTCTTCCTATCTATCTATCTATCTATCTATCTATCTATCTATCTTTCTGAGAAGAGGTATTATGTACATTATTTACATTATTCGGACTATTGTCCTCAGATTTTTGTAAAAATATTTATCCAACATTTCGGCCGTTGTATATCCGGTCTTCTTCAGGAACTAGAACAGTCTCCCCAGTGAGCGAAATAATTATATTCATTTCGAAATTCCAATATCCTGAAGAAGACCAAACAGCAGCCGAAACGTTTTATTTATATTATGAACAAAAGGAGGACAATAGTTCAATAATATATCTATCTATCTTATCTATCTATCTATCTGGACCTATCTGTGAGGGTAATCTGTTAATATCTATCGATCTCTATATATATATCGTTTGTCTGTCTTAGTCTTTTCATTATCTATCTATATCTATCTATATCTATCTATCTATCTCAATATGTTATATATCTATCTATCTATCTATCTATCTATCTATCTATATATCTATATATATCTATATATATATATATATATATATATATATATATATATAATTTAGAATTAAAAAAAAACATAAACACCAAGCATAAGTCAATGAATAATCCCTTTTGTATATTCATCTTCCTTATTTTCATCACATTCTTTTCTCCCTTCCACTTTTTAAGCCAGGGGTTCTTAACCGTTTATGAATTGGGAATTTTCAAATTGAATTGTGACCATAGTAAGCTTACGGGGTGGTGAGAGCAATTATAGAATTTGGCCTATCTTGCTTGTCACCTTGAAAAGGAGGCAACATAGAATGGAATGGCATTCTTACAAATGATAAAAGAGGTTCATGGAACATGCAAGGTTGCGAACCCTTGGACTAACCTATATCGTTTGTGTCAAGGTCTGTCATTTCAATCTGTTCCTAAAACGCTTTCCGTCTTTACTTGTTTTGTTGTTGTTTTTGTTGTTGTTGTTGTTTTTTCGATTTTAATTTTTCGATTCATGGATTTTGCTGATTGCCTATTGTTTTAGAACTTTCTGGGGGGAATTATTACAAGGACACCACGATTAATTCCGTCGAATATCCTCACTTCAATATTTTTTATCATTTTCGGAATTTTCAGGTAATGTATGAAATTTTCAGATTAACATATTATTATTATTGTTGTTGTTGTTTTTGTTGTTTCCTTTGATTTCTGTTGTATACTCATTTCCTTCCGGGTCCCAATCAGAGACCTAAGTCAGTGAGTCAGCTGTCTGATGGCCTAGCCAATTCCTTACAGCAGTTTTCATTTCTTCATCACCACCATAACGTGTGTCCCTCACTTGCCTCTTTCATTGGGCCAAAAAAGTTTGGGGGTCTTAAGTGGTGAGGAAAGAATAGATAGATAGATAGATAGATAGATAGATAGATAGATAGATAGATAGATAGATATGAATAGATAGATGAATAGATAGACAGATAGATAGATAGATAGATAGATAGATAGATAGATAGAAAAGACTAGAGAGAACAGATAGATATGAACAGATGAATAGATAGATAGATAGATAGAATAGATAGATAGATAGATAGATAAAGATAGATGAATTGGTAGAATGGAAGAAAGAAAGAGAATTGGATGAAAGTAAAAAGAGAATTAGATAAAAAAGATAGAATAGATAGATAGATGAATGATAGATAGATAGATAGATGAGAAAGATAATATATATAACAGACTGAGAAATAGATAGATAACAGACAGATAGATAGATAGATAGATAGATAGATTCAACAAGTATTGGAATTTGTTTTATAGTTTTATGCCCTCTCTCTCTCTCTCTCTCTCTCTCTCTCTCTCTCTCTCTCTCTCTGATATATTCGATCGTCATAAAAGTCAGCCCTCTTCTGATGTGGCTTATTCCCTCCAGCTATTTTCACTTCTTCCTCCCCCTCCATAACGTTTGTCTTTCCAGGTTCCCTTTCATTGAACCAACGAGATAGAAGTCTGAGGGTAGTGAGTTAAACGGTGATGAAGAAGTGAAAACTCCTCTAAGGAATTAGTTACATCCCAGTGTTACGAAGCTGGGATATTTGCCCTAATTCGTAGGAGGAACACTGGCATGGAAAGTGATGGTAACTACGCGAAGGAGTCGGGGTGTGAAGCTGTGATGTATAACTATATCTTGATGTGAGATATATTTTATTGGCTTTCTTATTTCTTATATGATAAAACAAATTGCATTCAATTTTGACTCACACTCGTATATTGAATAGCAGGGAAGTGGATTGCGCTAAAACTTCGTGTTGAAGGAAAAACAGCGCTGGGATTGGCTGATAAAATGAAGATCTGAAGACAACCCCTGAGGACAGTTATAAAAGCATCAGAAAACCAATTATGAAAACAAGCGCGTATAAACACTTCTTCGTCAAAGAGTATAAATATCCTTTGTGAAAGCAAAAGAGATAAAGAAAGAGAGGGGGAGAGGAAGAAAGAAGGGAGAGAGGGGGAGAGGAAGAAAGAAGGGAGGAAAGAGAGGGAGGGAGAGATAGAGAGACGGAGAGAGTGAATTTTTTTGGAGCTGAGGGGGGGTAGAGACGGGGAGGGAGAGGAAAGAAGGAACGAGAAAGGGAGAAAGAGAGAAGTTTTTTTTGAGAGATAGGAATAAAGAAGGAGAGAGGGAGACCCTTGGAGGAGAGGGAAGATAGCTAGAAACAGAGGGAGAGAGAGGGAGGGAGGGAAAGATAGAGAGACGGAAGGATAGACGGGGTGAGGAAGGGAGGGAGAGACGGGGAGAGAGAGGAAAGAGGGAACGAATGAGGAAGAAAGAGAGAGGGAGGGGGAGAGACGGAGAGGAAGAGAGAGAGAGGCAGGGAGAAACGGAGAGGGAGGGAGAGCGAGGGACGGAAAGGGAGATAAAGAGACAGAGAAAGGAAGAGAGTGAGAGAGAGAGAGGAAGAAAGAAGGGGGAGAGAGACGAGATAGAGGAGGAGAGCAGAGATAGCTAGAAACAGAGGGAGAGAGAGGGGAGGGAGAGATAGAGAGACGGAGAGAGTGAGGGAGAGACGGAGTGTTTAGAGACGGGGAGGGAGAGGAAAGAAGGAAGGGAGAAAGATAGAGGGAGGGGGAGAGAGAGGAAGAAAGAAGGGAGAGAGGGGTGAGATGGAGGAGGAGAGGGGAGATAGCTAGAAACAGAGGGAGAGAGAATGAGAGAGAGGGAGCGAGAGATAGAGAGACGGAGAGACGGAGGGATAGACGGGGAGGGAAAGGAAAGAGGGAACGAGGGAAGGAAAAAGAGAGAGGGAAGGTTGAGAGACGGAGAGGAAGAGAGAGAGAGGGAGGGAGAGTGAGAGACGGAAAGGGCAATAAAGAGACAGAGAAAGGAAGAGAGTGAGAGAGAGAGACGAAACAGTAAATCATTTTAATAAAAAATGTTTACTCGATACAAAGCTGAAGAGAAGGTTGATAGAGATAAGTGAAAAATTATGAGGATAGGGATGATAGATAACGATTGCCCATTGACTTGAAGAGGTTAGGATGTTCAGGATGTTCTTCTTCTTCTTCTTCTTCTTCTTCTTCTTCTTCCCATCTTCTTCTTCTTCTACTTCTCCTCCTCCTCCTCCCTCTTCTTCTTCTTCTTCTTTTTCTTCTTCTTCTTCTTCCTCCTCCTCCTTCTTCTTCTTCTTCTCCTCCTCCTCCCTTCTTCTTCTCCTCCTCCTCCTCCTTCTTCTTCTTCTTCTTCTTCTTTTTCTTCTTCTTCTTCTTCTCCTCCTCCCCCTTCTTCTTCTTCTTCTCCTCCTCCCCTTCTTCTTTCCTCCTCCTTCTTCTTCTTCTTCTTCCATTTTCTTCTTCTTCTATAGGCTCCTCTTCCCTTCTTCTTCTCCTCCTCCTCCTCTTCTTCTTCTTCTTCTTCTTCTTCTTCTTCTTCTTCTTCTTCTCCCGCTTCTTCTTCTCCGGCTTCTTCTTCTTTTTTGTTTCATAGAAAGAAAGAATGAAAGTAAGGAAGAAAGAAAGATAAAAGAATGAGACATACATAGATAGATAGATGGAAATCCCATTTTTATGTGTATAATGACCTTTCTAGACGTTCGCGATCAAGCCCCCCCACCACCACTACCACCACCACAATTTCCTGTTCCTTGTAGATCTTAATAAATATTGTCTTTGTGTTTTCTCTCCTAACCCTTGTTCTGCTAACCATTTCCTCAAAGGTAGGTCATGCTTTCTTTTCCTCTTTCTCTAGAAAAAATAACTATATCCTGTGAGTAGCAAAATTTCCAAATTCTCTTTTCCATATTATGTACGCTAGTTAACTCAATTCTTTCTTCCAGATGTTGACGAGAAATGTTTTTTCTTTCCATTAATTGTAAAACTACATCGTTGCTCACATATTCATTCCATGTTATTCTCAGCATACTTCTGTAGAATCACAATATTGTTGCTTCAAGTTTCTGCTTCATCTGTGAGGAAATTGTCCAGCATTCACTGCCATATAGGAGGACTGATATTACATAACAGTTTAGTACTCTTTTCTTTGTTTCTCTTGCTTCAAATCTCTTCTCCATCTGTGAAGAGATTGTCCATCATTCACTGTAAAATAGGAGGACTGATATTTACATTAACAGTTCAGTACTCTTTTTCTTTGTTTTCTTGCTTCAAGTCTCTTCTTCATCTGTGAGGAGATTGTCCAGCATTCACTGCAATATAGGAGGACTGATATTACATAACAGTTCAGTACACTTTTCTTTGTTTCTCTTGCTTCAAGTCTCTTCTTCATCTGTGAGAAGATTGTCCAGCATTCACTGCCATATAGGAGGACAGATATTACATAACAGTTCAGTACTCTTTTCTTTGTTTCTTTTGCTTCAAGTCTCTTCTTCCTCTGTGAAGATTGTCCAGCATTCACTGTCATATAGGAGGACTGATATTACATAACAGTTTAGTTTCTTTTCTTTGTTTTCTTGCTTCCAAATCTCTTCTCCATCTGTGAAGAGATTGTCCATCATTCACTGCCATATAGGAGGACAGATATTACATAACAGTTCAGTATTTTTTCTTTGTTTCTCTTGCATTAAATCTCTTCTTCCTCTGTGAGGAGATTGTCCAGCATTCACTGTCATATAGGAGGACTGATATTACATAACAGTTCAATACTCTTTTCTTTGTTTCTCTTGCTTCAAATCTCTTCTTCCATCTGTGAAGAGATTGTCCAAAATTCACTGCCATATAGGAGGACTGATATTACATAACAGTTCAGTACTTTTTTTTTGTTTCTCTTACTTCAAGTCTTTCTTATCTGTGAGGAGATTGTCCAACATTCACTGCCACACAAGATGATATTACATAAGAGTTCAGTTTTTTTCTTTGTTTCTCTTGCTTCAAGTCTCTTATTCATCTGTGAGGAGATTGTATAGCATTCACTGCCATATAGGTCGACTGATAATACATAACAGTTCAGTACTATTTTTCTTTGTTTCTTTTTGATTTTCAAGTCTCTTCTTCATCTGTGAGGAGATTGTCCAACATTCACTGCCATAGAAGAAGACTGATATTACATAACAATTCAGCAATCTTTTCTTTGTTTCTCTTGTGCCAAGTCTCTTCTTCATCTGTGAGGAGATTGTCCGGCATTCACTGCCATATAGGTCGACTGATATTACATAACAGTTCAGTACACTTTTCTTTGCTTCTTCCTCCTTACAAATAGAATACAGAGGAAATTTGTCTTATTAGAGTCGCCGGGCGAAAATAGCGATTCTTAAAGCAAAGATCTGCATTTGTAGAAGTAATGAATGACTCTCATCTGGGCTTTTGTCATGTACAATTCTGGGTTGCCACTCTATAGAGATGATTACAAAGTAAGAGTCACTGTTTATGTGGATTTTAGTAAATTTTGTTTTCCCTAAAGTTTGAACATTTTGAAGATTTAGACATCGGGGAAATCCTTTGGGAGTCGATGGAAAAGCAGGTAGTTGGGTTACAGTCAAAGGCAGAGTTGATATGTGGGAAGATAACGGTTAACCCTTACTTGAACAGGTTAATATGTATAATATTTTAAATAAATGGGAGTCGATTCACAGGTTCACAAAGCTTCATGGGAATGGAGCTGCTTTTTTAAAATTTGCATTATAAAACTTTACGGGAATAAGAAGGAAATGATATATTTAGATACAATAGGCGTGCTCATGGCGGGTTTTTATTTGAAATTTAGGACAGATGTAATTTTTTTGTAGTTCGCCTGAACAAATCTTATTAGAAAAGCATTAAAGCAATTTTAGGCTTGCAATGTTTCTGATTGTACCTATCTGCATTCATTAATTGTACGGAAAAGCAAGAGCCAGGCTGAAGTTGACTACTGGTCACGTGCGTAGAACAACACAATGTTATTCATCATGACGGCCGTCTTTGAGTATAGAATCCAGAGGTTAGCAGTGAATATTTCGAAGAGAGGAGGAAAGCGTTGTTCAGTTTAGCAGTGGATATTTTGGTAAAAGGTAGCAGAGCATAGTTCGTCCTTCTGGTTCTCTTCGCCTGACAAGCTGGACAGGACATTCGGGTAGAGTGAACAAACATGGCCGCCTTTATACACGACGAATTGAATATTCTACGTCTTCTGATTGGTTAACCTTCTATTGGTGGACTATAAAGGCGTTGGTTAGATCCAGTGACAGACGCAAAGAAGGTGAGTTCAATACCTGGTTAAGGCAGTGGAGATTTTTCAAAGGGAAAATTGGCAGGAGATAACTGATAACTGACATCCATCAAACATGGCACGTGGAACTAGAACATAATACCCCAGTGATCGAAATAAAGGGTTAGTTCGAAATTCCAACCAACTGAAGAAGGTCGGAGGTACAACGGCCGAAACGTTGTGGACAAATAATGACAAAGATGAGGACAATAGTCCGACTAATTAAATACTGTACATAATACCTCATCTCAGAAATATAGAACAGACACTATAAAGTTAGTTTTCATTTCAGCTAATCTGTTTAGTTACATGTATATACACAAAAAACTGTAACACACAATACAAAATTCAAATAAAAACTAGCATTTAAATGTGAAGAAAGAAGGGAGAGAAGGATGAGAGAGGTGGAGGGAGAGATACAGAGACGGAGAGAGTGAGGGAGAGACGGAGTGAGGGAGGGGTTAGAACCGGAAAGGGAGAGGAAAGAAGGAACGAGGGAGGGTGAAAGAGAGAGGAATATATTTGTTCGAAGTAGCAAAGTGGTTTTGGACTACTGTAACCGATTAGTACAAACTAGCAGGCAACCGTAATGAACTGGTCCTCGCCGTAGTGGTAGGCAATAGGCGTAGACAATAGGCGTCGTCATGTACCTCCACATCAGTCTGTATTTATGGCTGACACCAGCCAATCATATTACTGTGAGGGGTAACCCATGTGTATGCATATTCATTCCATCAAACAACATCCAATCAAGTTTTGAAAAAGGGTTCTTCAAGGCCACTTTCCTTTTCCTGATCGTTTAGAAAAATTCTTGACTTACTGTTGAGTCTTTATCATCATTTTAAACGTGTAAAGTAATTTTAAAACGTTCGACCGCCACGTTTTTGTCACTCCCAAATATAGCAGTTGATAATTCTTTTTGGTTAAAGTTCATCAATTTTGACTGTCTGCTCATACAATGACCACAATTTCTTTTCTAACATTGCTTATTGAAAAGTTTACAAGAGGGTGCTGTATGGAGAAATGCATGTCCAAATAAAATAAAAAAAAAACAAACAATCAGGCAAAAATCTATATTTCTGTCTATGAAATGCTATTTTTTATAGAGTTTAGTTGTTCTATCTGGCCGGAAAAAAAAGGTCCGTTCTTAAAGGAGTTGTGACTAAAAAACGGTTATAGAATCAAATCTTTTCCCAACTTTTGTTCTATTTTTGGTAATTTCCCATCTAAATAGAGTTTGGAGAATTCAGTTCATTGAAATACAAAGTTCGTTGTTCTTTCGTAGAACAAATTCTTCAACCATTTGTTCTGGATAATTTACCTCAAAAAATGTTTTTATGCCATTTACAGTCCTTTCAATTACGACAGAAAATTTTTTTCTCTTTTAATAAAAAATGATTGCCTTCGAAAATTTAAAAAAAAAGTTAGATTTATTAAAATCAAGCAAGACGGAAAATTTGATGGAAGAAATAAAAGATAGTGTTAGGCGTCTGTTGACTGTATACTATTTATTTTGATGTAATGAATCTGCATACAACTGGGTTCCCATTAATGTAGTAATAATATGATTGGCTGGTGTCAGCCATAAATACAGACTAATCTATTAAATAACATACACGTTGACGCCTAATTGTAAACGCCTATTGCCTACCTATTCTACGACGAGGACCAGTCCATTACGGTTTGCCTGATTTGAAAAAAATTTTAATCAGTTTCAACAACCGCTTTT